AAAAAAAAAAAAAAAACCCAATCAAAACTCAAATTTAACTCAACTTTAACCCAACCCAACTATCATCAATTTTATCAATATATTAAATATTATCAACCAATCATTCTTACACGTCGCATTAAATTTAATTCACTATACATCCACTCACATAATTTTAACTAACCATCAACTCACATAAAAAAGAAAACATCTAACTCACATCATTTCTCTCATACTTTTACATCAAATCAACTTTAATTATTTTATTTTAAATAATTAAAATAATTTAAACTTAAATTCTCACTGACAACTAACCATACCACATTTTTCAAAATTAATTAACAAAAAAGCCGATCAAAATCCAATCAAATCTGTATCTAATCACACCCTAAATATGTTACTTTCTCGATGTTTCAAAACGCACATTTTGTAATTTTAGTTCGATTTGACTATTGTGTAAAAAAATTACCTCAGTGTTTGAAGATGGGCTTCGAATATTGGGCTCCTTGACGAAACATTTGAAAGGGCCATAAATGGGTTTCTTACTACACCTAATCTCCTACCCTTGAGCCCATCTTTATTGAGGAACTGTGTGTATCCATCCACAGGAATGAACTTGGCTGCTGCCTTTGTTGCTTCTGAGTCTCTCGAATCAAAGCCAACGATAGAATCCAGCACATAAACAGCATCAGAAACTGTTCTGCAGATGGGCCTGAATTCGATATCATAAAGAAATGCTAGTGTACATCAGCAAGTTCATATTTCATCCAATACAACTTGTCAAGGTTAATAGTGAAAACTAAAACTTATAAAAAGTACGCTTGAACAAGTAGAACTTGAATGTAACTGGGGGAAAAAAAAAGATACTTTCTAAAAATAGAGATATTTGCAAATTGTATCAAAGGGAAATTTACTTAAAAAATATAATAATCCATCCTAGAATCTAGCATCAAGACTATCAAGAATACAATAGGTCCACAACGCAAAGTAGATAATGCCAAAGGAGACCAATTAATTACCCAACAGTGTCCTGACGAGGAGAAAGTGGGATAACACCGGCTCGACTGGTGAGCCCAACAGTAGGCTTGATAGCCACAACTGAGTTATGATCGGCCGGGCAAATGAGGGATCCATCAGTTTCGGTCCCTAAAGATACCATTGCCATGTTGGCAGCCACCGATATTGCCGATCCACTGCTTGAACCGCATGGATTTCCATCCTTTACGTAAGGATTCTGAATATCGTCACAAGAAAGACAAAAGTAATCAGGGATTCATAGGTTCATTGCTCATAATTCGTCTGCCTACAATCATACGAGGTTTCTTGTTCCAAAATACATTGATTCTCTTTGGTTCTCGCAAAATTCGCCACCAGCTGGAAAATTTCAAACTTACATAGTGCTTTTTTTTTCTTTTTTTTTTTTTTTTCTTTAACNAAGCCATTTATGTTTGTACCAATAGGCAAAATGGTACAGCAGAATTGTGAGCCTATTAGCAGGTTTAAACTATATTTCTAGTAAGTCCAGTAAAATTGTAAGCACATTTGATTAGGAATTAGTACAGCTTTAAGAATCTACGAACACAGATTAAGTTCCTCTTATAGAGTTGTTAAACGAAACGAGCCGCTCGTGAGCTTGGCTCGTTAAGACTCAAAAATTGAGATTTTTATGTAAATTTCTATAGCTGGCTCATTAGTATTGATATGAGCTTGAGCTAAAGTATCAAAAGCTGAGTTCAGCTCCAATTTCCCTCCTAATTCCTAATCAAACCAAGCCTACAGGCTACAGCTACATCATATTAAACAAAATTAGAGCTCAATTTTTTTTTCCAATGAATAATTTCATCCATAAAAATGAAGATAAGAAAATAATTTGAAACGAGAAAGAAATTGAACTAACCACGCCCTGACCAGCTCTGGCACACCACCCATCGGGAATCCGCGGCGACCGGAAGTGGTACCACTCGCTCATGCTCGCCTTCCCCAGAATCACCGCCCCAGCTCTCCTCAGCCGCTCCACCACCCCGGCGTCGCGCGGCGGCACCGACCCGAGCAGCGCGAACGACCCTGCCGTGGTGTTCATCTCATCTCGTGTAGCTATGCTGTCCTTCAAAAGCACCGGCACGCCGTGCAACGGCGGGAGACCGCCATTGCCCGCCTCCCTCTCACGATCGGCCGCCTCCGCCTGGTCCAGCGCGTCTGGGTTAACCTCAATCACACCTCGGAGTGCCGGATTTAAGGTTTTGATGCGGTCCAGGTAGTACTCGACGAGCCGGCGGGAAGTGAGCTTTTTCTCAGCGAACGCGCGGCGTATTTCGTCGACTGTGGCTTCCTCGATCGAGAAATCGTGGCCATTGATTTCGAGGAGAAGGCCCGAGAGGAGGAGGAGGAGGAGAGAGAGTACGGAGAGAAGAGACGGCGGCGATTTGCCTCTCGCCATGGCCTTTCGTTTTCGTGCTATGTTCAGCTCTGCCGTTCACAGTTCACTGGTTTTTTTGGGATGTGAACAAAGTCAACTTTTGACTCCGAAATCAAATGTTCCAACAATTTAAGTAAATAATTGTTTTGCTGGATATCAAAATTTTACTGGAAAAACTAAAATCATACATTGATAATTTGTGATTTTTTTATTTTATTTTTTGTGAACCTGTTTGATACTTTTACACACAAAAATAAGATATGACTTTAAATAAGATTTTATAATATAAGTTCATTATGTCCTTGTTTGATTTATTTAAACATTCAATATTCCTATATATTGGAATTAATAATTATACATTCACAAAAAAGCTAACAAACCATATATTTTCAACAAAAATATATACTTTCAAATTGAAATCTAAAAAAGGTCATATAAATTTTCATAGCAAAAAGTATCAAATGTGCGTATGAGTTTGAGATTCGGTTGGAGCAATTTTCCTCCCTCATTTTGACCAGTTCGGTTGGAGGTGGTCTTAAACCCACAAGACACTTATCCCATAGGAATTTTAACTGTTGATCAATACATACCACATTAATTTCACTGCATCCCTGTAAAGTCGACTCCCATAATATTTTCATGAATTCCCTGTAAAAAAAAACTCAGATAAGTACCATCCAACTACTATCAAAGCCCATCCATATATCAAATGCTTTTTGTGTTCTTAGGTAAAGCAATTGTAAGTACAACAGAATGTGTCTTAATAATCCGTTTTCGTTATAAGAGACAAGTCTGCATAAAATCATCTCCAAGTACACCACACCAACAAATAACAAAATTTAACTCCAAAAAGAAAAATACACAAGAACCATAAATAGCCACCACAAGTCTACCAAAATTTCTCTATATTGTGCACCAACAACTTCATAATTCTGTAATAAAAAGCCCCAAAACTGATTTATTTATTTTTTTTCTTAAGAAAAAGGAACCAAAATCTTATCAGCCCACATTCAAAAGCTCACAACCTCTTCATTACACCCGAGTGCCCATCTCCTCAGCCTCTTCAGCATGTCCATTTCCATTTTCAGCGTTCACAACCGATCCATTTTCAGATCCACCAGC